TCGTCTGTGGGGCCTGCACACACATGGTGCATACATATACATGCAGACATACTCATATACGTAATATAAAATGTTTTTCTTAAAAAAGAAAGGAAAATCCATAATGAATAACTAAAAGCTGCAGAGACAAAAGATGGGTTGGGACAGATCCAGAATTGTGAGCTGAGACTGTCTTGGTCATCTCAGATGTCCCAGTGCTTGTCAAGCTTCAGGGTCAGCAGTCAAATTGTAGAGAGATTTGTCTTGTTCTGAAGTTTAAGCAAGAGCACCCCATACTTTCTCTCTCTCTGTCTCTCTCTCTCTGTCTCTCTCTCTGTCTCTGTCTCTCTTTCTCCTTCTTTCTTTTGAGATAAGCACTTAGTTTAGGCAACTCTCAAATGAGCTGTGTAGCCCAGGATAGCCTCCAATGCCTGATCTTACTTCTCGCCTTCACCTCCTGAGTGCTGGGCGACAGGTCTGCCATGCCCGGTTTACGTGGCACTGGGGATGGAACCCAGGGCTTCCTGCATGCCAGGCAAGGTCCCTTGCTTGCTCACTGTGTTCTGATCCCTTTTCATCCTTCCTTTGTTTGTTTGTTTTTGTTTTTTTTTTTTTTTGAGACAGAGTCCGTGTAGCCCTGGCTGTCCTGGAATTTGATCTGTAGACCAGGCTAGCCTCCAACTCCCCTTTGTTTGGTTCTCACTACTTAACTCAGGTTTGTAGTTTTTAAAACAAAACCCCAAACCTTTGATTTACCAGTGAAGACTCAGGAGCCAGATGCTGAGGTGAAAGCCTGCTAGCTCAGAGAGGCAGAGAAAGCACCCAGCAGACCTTCCTCCTCCACTGAAGTCCCAGAGGGAAAAAGCTCCTTCTCCTCCACGAGGTCTCACCTCTTTCCCGGGTTTTCCAATGTTGACTCCCTGTCAGCTGACTGCTTGCTCCACCTCTTGACCCATCTTCTCTTTCCCTAGTTGTTATTTAAGGAAGCCCCTGGGTTACATGAGTGCTAGGACTGAGCCACACCACAGGAAGAAACAGTGCTTCTAGTTCACAGTCTCTGGATTCACACTGGGATCAAATATTCTGCAATATATCCTGGAGCGTCTCAATTTAGTGTTCCTCTTGCCTTGGCCTCCTCAGTGCGGGATCACAGGCATAAAGCCACCACCCCGTGGTTTTTTCCCCAAATTACAAAGCAGGTTCTGGAGGCTGTGCCTTGAAACCAGCTGCGTTTTGAGAGTTCACAGCTGGATGAGCCCAGATCATGATGATTTCATGGCCAGGAGTGGGATGGTTCCTGTAGCGTGGAGAGGCAAGGCAGGAAGTGGGAAATTCGTCTTCTTCTTCTTCTTCTTCTTCTTCTTCTTCTTCTTCTTCTTTAAGATTTATTTATTTATTTCATGTATGTGAGCACACTGTAACTGTCTTCAGACACACCAGAAGAGGGCATCAGATCCCATTCCAGATGGTTTAAGCCAACATGTGGTTGCTGAGAATTGAACTCAGGACCTCTGGAAGAGCAGCCAGTGCTCTTAACCACTGAGCCATCTCTCCAGCCCTGGGAAATTCTTAAAATAGCACCATCAAGCTGCATAGAGGTGTTGTGCAGGTCGCTGATGGCCTGCAAAGGCAGCCCAGGAGGACCCAGGGTCAGTCCTTTTTTTTTTTTTTTTTTTTTTTGCTTTGTTTTTTTGAGACAGGGTTTCTCTGTGTAGCCCTGGCTGTCCTGGAACTCACTCTGTAGACCAGGCTGGCCTCGAACTCAGAAATCTGCCTGCCTCTGCCTCCTAAGTGCTGGGATTAAAGGCGTGCACCAACACTGCCCAGCCCGCAGGGTCAGTCCTACTCTCATACCCAGTCCAGGAAGTCTATGTATGCCCCTCTGTCTTTTGGTGATCAAACCAAAGGTCTCTTACAAAGCAGGCAAGCAATCACACTGAGCCAGGACCCCAGCCTCTCACTGGGAGGTTCTAGTCAAGGCTCCACACATGATCACATACACATACACACACATTCATACACACACACACACACACACACACACACACCCTTACTGAGGAATTCTAGATGGGGCTCCAGGAGTACAGACTGCAGTCAGCTCAATAGGTGGGAGAGGAGAGTGTTCCTCCAGGCAGCTAAGCTAGTCTCTGTCTTTTCTAGGCATTTCTGTTAGTCTAATGTTGTCCCTCAGCAGTTAAGACTTATATAAGCTTAAGGAGGGATGAGCCTAATGAATCTGCTCAGTTTCAGGGACTTCCTGAACTACTAAATTGTCTTCTAAATGTCACAGCTTCATTGCAAGATCAACTGTTTCATATGCCCTGAGAACATCATTTGCCCTTTTACTCCCTGAAACTTAACAAGGTGTTGTTGGTGGTGTTTGTTTCCTTATTTATTTATTTATTTATTTATTTTAACGAGACAGGCCGGGCGGTGGTGGCACACGCCTTTAATCCCAGCACTTAGGAGGCAGAGGCAGGTGGATTTCTGAGTTCGAGGCCAGCCTGGTCTACAGAGTGAGTTCCAGGACAGCCAGAACTACACAGAGAAACCCTGTCTCGAAAAACCATAAAAGAAAAAAAACAAAAACAAAAAAAAACAAAGAAAAAACAGGTTCTCCCTCTGAATCCCTAGGTGTCCTCAAACTCCCTTTGAAGATCAGGGTGGAATTGAACTCACAGAGATGTGCCTGCCTCTACCTTCTGAGTGCTAAGATTAGAGGCGTGCACTCCCGTGTCCAGTTTACCCACGGTAAGTTTTAATGAGAAGAGAAACTGCTATATGACTCAGGGGCTGCAGACGCGGCTCAAAGAGGAGCCGCTGCTGAGAATCTCCCAGTGAGGGGACCGGGCACTGCTCAACGGTGAAGGCTTGTACAGCATCCTTTAAAGATAACTTATTTTTATTTTATGTGCATTGATGTTTTGCCCTCACGTTTGTCTGTGTGATGGGGTTGGGTCCCCTGGAAGTGCAGTGTAGTTACCTCGAAGGTACAAGTTGACCTGGGATGCTGGGAGTTGAACCTGGGTCCTCTGGAAGAACAGGCTGTCGTTTATACCACTGAGCCATCTCTCTAGTTCCCTTGCATAGCATCTCTTAGAAAACTTGTCTGTTAGCCGGGCGGTGGTGGCGCACGCCTTTAATCCCAGCACTTGGGAGGCAGAGGCAGGTGGATCTCTGAGTTCGAGAGTTCGAGGCCAGCCTGGTCTATAGAGTGAGTTCCAGGACAGCCAGGGCTACACAGAGAAACCCTGTCTCAAAAAAGAAAAGAAAACGTGTCTGTTTTCATTTTATGCATGAACGTTTGTCTGCATGTCTCTCTGCCTCTGTAACACAAGGCAGCCCTGCACCCATCAGGGCCAGCAGAGGCCTTCGATGCTTTGGAGCTGGAGTTACAGACGGTTGTAAGCCACCATGTGGGTGCAGGGAATCAAACCGGGGTCTTCTGGGATAGCAGTCAGGGTTCCCCATTGGCAAGCCATCTGTCCAACCCTGGTAGAGCTTTTTTTTTTAAAAAATACATTTATTTGATGTACATTGTGCCTTGCCTGCATGTATGTATGTGCCTCTGCCCACAGAAGTCTTGAAAGGGCATAGGATTTCCTGGAATTGGCGTTAAGGATGGTTGTGAGCCACCACGTGGTTGCTGGGATCTGAACCTTCATTCTCTGGAAGAGCAGCCAGTGCTCTCAGCCACAGAGCCATCTATCTCTACAGCCTCTGGCACAGCGTTTAGTTTCTCTGGACCTGGGCTTAGCTAAAAAATATTAAAAGAAATAGCATCGGTTTCCTGGTAGCTCTGTTTTGTTGTGATGACTCAGAACTCTTGGTTTTCCTTCTGAGACCCTTGGTTCACATGGCTTCCTGGAAGCCAGACACAGCACCTAAGGGTTCTAGCTCTGTAATGCTGGTCACATCCCCACAAATCTCCACATATCTGTCTTGCAAGCGGCTATAAATCAGTCCCATGGGACCTACTGTACTCTGATAGCTGGTTACAAGACACTCCTTATTCCAGAAAGGTTGTATGTAACAGGCAGGCCTGGAAGACTGCATCCAGGCGGACCCTGGAGACTGGCCAACACTGGCCTCTCCGGCGCCATTTTCTACCTTCTTGGCTGGTCAGCTCAGCCAGGCAGTCTGCAGTTTATGTCCTTGTTGCTGAGCCACAGAGGAAGAAGAGCCCTGGGAGACCCCGGGACTCTGGCCTAGGAATGACTTGTTAGGCAAACAAGGCTGCTACACAGTGAGACTCTATTTAAAACAATTAGTAACTTACTAAAAAGTATTAATGTTAGGCCACTTCTCCCGTCTCTATTACTTATTTCTTCATTTATTTTCTTTCATCTTTTGTTTTTCAAGACAGAATCTCATGTAGTCCTGGCTGTTCTGGAACTCACAGAGGTCTGCCTGCCTCTGCCTCCCAAGTGATGGGATTAAAGGCCTTGGCCCCAAGCACCTTGAACTTCTGATCTCTTGTGTCCACCGTCAGAGCGCTGGCATAATCAGCTGTACTATGGATGGAATCCAGGGTCTCCTGGGTACTAGGCAAATACTCCACCAACTGTGCTACAGCCTCAGCCACAATCTTATTTTTTACTCAGGAGTTCACATATTTGTTTCACCCATTGAACAGGTGAGGAAAATGAGGGCCTGATGGACCTCAAACTTCAGACTACAGTCACTTTCCAAGCAGAAGTGACTGGTCAGCAGCAACACGGGACTTCACGCAAGTATGATGGCAGATGTTCTTTGAGTAACTACAGATGGCTACAGTCTCCTTCTGCTTCAAGTCTTCTGTCTGCTGATGTCTCAAAGTGTCACGCAGGGGCCGAGTTCAGTACCATACCTAGATCTCAAACCAGTTACACAGTAGTCTACCCATTGCAGCACGCAGAAGAAAAGCCCCCAGACTCGGCAAGAGCCGGTGAAGCAGCCACGCGCAAGGCCTTAGGGGAAATGAAGTCGAGGCTCCAGCGTCCTATCGTGCAGGCCCCGCCCACGGAACTACTCTCCCGTCGTGCCCCGCGGCGGCAGGCGTGGCGGCCCGGTTGCTAGGACTTGGGTAAGCGTGGAGTTCGCGCGGGCGTCCCTCAGGTGAGCAGCTGCCGTACGGTTTCGAGTTCCGCCGTTCCGGATCCGTCACGGGGTACCGGGGATGGCGACGAGGCAAGGGCAGTAAACAGGGAAAGAAAGCTTTGTCGGGGCAGACCGCGTACGCTGAGTTCTGCGCGCGTCCCGGAGGCGGCGGGGGTGCGCGTGCGCTAGCACTCAACGCTAGTACGCGTGCGCACAGGGCTTTGAGCCCACCGCGCCCTACGCCGTCGGTTTGCGGCGCACGCGTGTACCCTACTCTGATTCCGGAAACCCCGTGATTTCCAGCTGCTTCCGGTTGTATGTTCCGGGTCATCACAGTCCCCTGCCTCAGGGTTGTCTATTCACCATCTTTACAGCAGGTGTGCAGTTTCCCTTTAAGCTCTGGTACCCTATGGGAATTCCTGGGGCATCTTTGGTGGTACCAGGGATCGAATCCTGAACTTTGGTTCTATTAGACTGGCCCTGTGCTACTGATCCACGTTCCCTCCGTTCAGAAGTCGATTCCAGGAGCTTTGCTTATATTTGTACCCAGCCCCTCAATGGGGTATTTTTTTTCTGGTTTTTCGAGACAAGGTTTCTCTGTGTAGCCCAGGCCGTCCTGGAACTCACTCTGTAGACCAGGCTGGCCTCGAACTCAGAAATCCTCCTGTCTCTGCCTCCCAAGTGCTGGGATTAAAGGCGTGCGCCACCACTGCCCGGCTCAGTGGGGTATTCTATTGAGTATTCCAGGCAGTGCCTCTACCCCTGCGCCACACCCCATCCCTTCATTGGGTGATTTGGGCAAGAGCCTTACCGTTGACTTAAGCTTCTGCTCCTCACTGTAGAATATAGGTAGGCTCTCCCCTGCTGAGCTCTGCCAGAGCCCTCTTTGATTTGTATTTTGGAACGTTTTGCTGTATGCCTCAACCTGGCCCAGAACAACTCTCTGATGGCTTATTGAATGCCTGGTATTTCAGGCCTGTGCTTCCAGACCTGATGCAGTGGTGCTCTTTCCTGTCCGTTGTAGCCAGTCCAGCCATGGTCCCATTCTTTTGGACTCTGCACCCAAGGCCCATTGTTTGCCTGCAGAGGGGATGAGATTCCTCAGGGGTGGCTTCCTAAGCCTGTGGGAGTGTCTGGCAGACTGCAGGACACTCTGGCACAAGGAGCCCCTTTCACACCTGTTCCATGTTGATGTACAGTGGGCACCTGTCACCTAAAACAAGGGAGTCATTCACACTGGTGTCCACTTCAGTCCCAACACGAGCGGGTGGTGACTAGAGGATGTAGCTGGCTTGGTGTACACGGTGAGCTGCACGTCAGCCTGGGCTAAACAGGGAGACTTTGTCTCTAAACAAAACAGGAAAACAAGCATACAGAATGGGCCTCTAGCAGTGACTGCGAAGGTCCCCTGTGGCACCAGCATTGGCCACCATCCTGTACCTCATAGACTCCTCCCCAGAGGTCCATAAGCCCTGGCTGTGTGTCCCTTGTAGTCTCGAGGGGACAAATAAGGCTGTGTCTTCTGCCCAGGAGACAGTGGTGCTTTGTGGCCCAGGCAGGCGCTGTGCGTTGTAAGCGTGGTGTGTGCCCTGGGGAGGCCAGATGTCCTCGTGCCCCTCATGGGGCCTGTGCAGGGGCAGCCATGGTGACACCAGGCTCGCAGACACACTTGCTGCTGTTCTCTCTTCCTAGTCGTAGGGCTCCTGGTGGCACCTGTGGTTCTCTAGTTAGCCCATAGAGCCATTCGTGACCTGGGCAGCCAGGGTGAGCTGTGAAAGCTAACAGAATGTACCTGAATCCATCGCATAGGTGGTGGGGGAGGGTGTGGGGTATGATGGTGGGCAATGCAGCCCAGCCCTCAGGCAGCCCTGCAGGTCACCTCATGGGCACTTTTTTTTTCTCCCCAAGTTCCTTCTCATTTCTTTGTTTGGTGCTCTGTATTTACCTAAGGGTTGGAGCAGGGCAGGCAGACCCCCACCACTCAGCTGACCTCATCCCCTCCTGGATGGATTCTAGGCACTGCTCTGAGGATTGCTTGGCCTTATGGTCAGTAGGTTGTGGTTAGTTGTCAAGGCAAGGTGTGGCAAGGAGCAGGCTGTCAGCCAAGCTAATGATTTAAAGCCCAAGGATGGCGAGACGGTTCAGTAGCAGAGAACCGGATGTCAGTGGTCTGTGTGACGCCGCTGTGTGCTGCTGTCCTCCTCAGATTTGCCGTCTTGCCCTGTCTAGCTCTTACTGAGCACTGAGCAGCATCTGAGGCCTGAGAGGGCCCCCTCCCACAGCCTCACTTTCACTGGTATCTTGGGAAGCCCAGCTTTTTTTCCTGAGTGTAACGGTGGTGATGGTGTTGGCTGTCACCTCAGGCTTTATTGGGGTGCTTGCACAGCAGGCCATGAGCATTGGTGCCATGGATAGCCAGGTTCCCAGGCTAGCCCACTGAAGCAGGAAGTGGGTTGACTTGGACAGGCCATATAACTAAACACAGGTCCGTCCACTGTGGAAGCAGGTCCTGGACACATGCCTTTCTTGGCAGGGTCTGCAGTTTAGGCCTGCCACCCACCTTTTTCTGGGGATACAGAGGGTTGAGATGGGGTCTTGCTCTGTAGCTCTGACTGGCTGGCCTCCAGCTTACAGCCGTATTCCTGTCTGTGCCCCACAAGGTCTGACAGGTGTATGCTGCCAGGTAGACCACCATGGATACGTACCACAGACCACCTGGGGTCAGGTACACTGTCAGTCTAACTATGCTTTTGGAGGTTGGTCCTGAACCCCATTCACACACACACACACATACATATACATATTCACTGCATCTCTGAATGCTCCGGGGCCAGAGCCAGGATCTGCATGTGCTACGGCCACATCCTTTGCACCCACTGGACGGCTCTGTGAGGCTGTTCTTCCCTGGGCTGGACTAGACAGGTCCACTCCCCATATTGCAGGCAGAACTGGGTTCCTTCTGACTATAGGCCTGAAGTCTGGAAGCCAGCCAAGCCTGTCAGCAGGTACTCAATTGTTTTTGTTTTTTGGGGTTTTTTGGTTGTTTTTGTTTTTTGTTTTGTTTTGTTTTGTTGGCTAGACACAAGGTTTTATGTAGCCCTTCATAGGGCTGGCTTCAAAATCACCATGTGTTCCTGACCCTCTGGCCTTACACCTCCTGGGATAACAGGGTGCCACTGGGCCTGGTTTACTCAGGGCAGGGTCTGGGAGCCAGGGCTCTGTGCATGCTGCTGGGGTGGGTCTGGATTTCATAGTAATGAATACCTGTCTCCACACTGTCCTCAACACGGCGTCTGGTGGGTGCACGTGGACTCGTCAGAGGCCCGAACAGCCCGGCACGATTATTCCTTATGCCACTGGGGAGTAAGCCAACTCTACCTGGCGCTCTGGACTCCTCATTCCTGGGCCTGGCGGGACCCACAGCATCCGAGGACAGACCCCCGCCCCACTGAAGCTGACGGATGATGCTCCAGTCCCATCTCTGTCTCCCACAGTCGAGCCCGGTTGAGGATGGAGCCCACCTCAGGCTTTGCAGAGCAACCTGGGCCTGAGAAGGCCGAACGTGAGGAGCAAGAGCCGGTGCAATGGCAAGTCCTCCCTGTCCTGTCGGAGCAGCAGTCGGGGGCCGTGGAGCTGGTACTGGCCTATGCTGCACCTGTCCTGGACAAGCGCCAGACGTCCCGCCTCCTCCGGGAGGTGTCTGCTGTCTATCCACTTCCTGCCCAGCCCCACCTCAAGCGGGTGCGCCCCAGCCGCAGTGCAGGCGGTGCGCACTCTTCGGATCTGCTGCTTTGCCTGGCAGGGCCTTCTGCAGTCCCGCGCTCGCTGGCCGAGCTCCTCCCCAGGCCGGCCGTGGACCCACGCGGCCTGGGCACACCTTTCCTGGTGCCTGTGCCTGCTCGGCCGCCTCTCACTCGGAGCCAGTTTGAGGAAGCGCGGGCCCACTGGCCCACATCCTTCCATGAAGACAAGCAGGTGACCAGCGCGCTGGCCGGGCAACTCTTCTCTGCACAGGCACGAGCCACCATGCAGACCCACATGGAACGGGCGGTACGTGCGGCCCAGAGGGCAGCGGCGCAGGGGCTGCGGGCAGTGGGCGCTGTCGTGGTGGATCCAGCCTCGGACCACGTGTTGGCCACAGGGCATGACTGCAGCAGCGCAGCCAGCCCCCTGCTGCATGCCGTCATGGTGTGCATCGACCTGGTGGCCCAGGGACAGGGCCGTGGCTCCTGTGACCTCAGACGCCACCCGGCTTGCTCCTTCACGCAGGCCACTGCCACTCAGGGCGCCCGCGCCGGTAGCGTGCGCAAACTGGACGAGGATGGCCTGCCCTATGTGTGCACCGGCTATGACCTGTACGTCACCCGAGAGCCCTGTGTCATGTGCGCCATGGCCCTCGTCCACGCCCGTATCCAACGTGTCTTCTATGGGGCACCCTCACCGGATGGCGCCTTGGGCTCGCGCTTCCGTGTCCACGCTCGGCCAGACCTCAACCACCGCTTCCAGGTGTTCCGCGGCATCCTCGAGGACCAGTGCCGCCAGCTGGACCCTGACCCGTAGGCCTGGTGACCTGCTTCTCGACATTCTCTGCTCCTGGCCAGCCTGCATCCCCTGCTGTTCCATGGCCTTGGGCCTGGGGGCCACCCTCCGTGTCTGAGGACACTGACCACCTGTGCCAGACTGTGGGCCTCTCAGTTTTGAGACTGCAGCTTCTTCTCTGCTGGCTGTGACGACCGTGGGGCTCAGCTGTGCTCACAAGCCCAGTGGCTGTCTTACAGTCCCCATGGTCCTCCAGGCTCGGGGCAGGGAGCAGCCATCGAGTGTGAAAATAAAGCACCTCAAACTAAGTTCCCGTTTGCACTCAGGTGCCAGGCTGGGTTCGCCATCCACCTCAGGCTGTGGCTTGTGAAGGAGAACGGGCAGCCTTGCTGAGTGTGGCAGGCTCCGTGTGCCTCCAGGGGCAGAAACAGCCCAGCAGGCACCCTTCCCTGTCCCTGGATTCTTAAAGGTGTCACGTGTGTCTAGATGCCATTGGGCTGTGCTCTGTTCACCCACAGACTGTTGGTGGCCACGCTGTGCACCTCTTCATGAGGGAGGGGAGGGTGGGAGCTCCAGAAGGCTCAGTCTAAGTGGAGTGGAGTGCTTGTCCTCTGAGCAGTATGCTGGAGCATCTGGAGATGAACAAGGTTGGCTGTGCACCTTCTGGCCTCAGGCAGGAAAGGCAAGGCCTGGGCTGGGTGGACAAAGAAACGTCCTACCTAGAGCAGAGGTGGGGCTTGGGTTCTGTCTGCATCTCCATAGTCCTTCCATCCTTCCTCCTCGAAGGGTAGCCAGGGCCCTTCCTGGGAGACATGCTTCTGTGGCGTCCTCCAGTGACCAGGAGGCAGGGTGGGGCAGGAGGAGGCTTTCAGGCAGGCCTCGGAGCAGCCTGACCTGAGATGGTGGGACTGTAGTGCCAGTGACACCTGGTTGAGCAGGGCCTGAACTGGGAGACCAGGGTGTCCCTGCCACATTCTCATCTGAAACCCGTGGGGCTGCACCTGGCCACGTCTTGAAGGGGGCGCTTAGGAGCTCAGCTACTTTGAAAAGGAATCGCTAGGTGCCCCTGGGCTGCCCCGTCCCGACCAGAGCCCGTGCCGAGTCCCATGCCCAAGTGGATGCCTGTCATGTGGCGACTCAATAGCTTGGGAGTACTGAGCGGTGTGTCAGCAGGCACTCAGAGCCACCTGTGGGGCCACCAAGACCAGTACACCTTGGCTCCAAGGCTGTGGGTGGGATCAGCTGGTGGCTTGACACATCTGTCCTCTCCCTGGGGCGCTCTGAGAAGTAACATGAGGTGGCCCGATACCCGCTGAGCCAGCGGCCAGGCCGGCCAGCCTCTGCGGCAGAGCCTGCAGATGGGCTGCGCTAGGGTCCTCCTGGTCCCCGTGGCCACCAAGGCCCTAACACTAGTCTTCTTTCAGGTGGCCCCGTCTGCCTGGGTGCCAGGTCAGCTGATACAGACATGGCAGGTGAGTTTTTCCTGCTCCCCAGGTAGTGTCCACCAGGTAGTGTCCGCCATTCCCACTGAGACTCTGAGCTGGTTGTAGAGTGACCTGGCCTCCCAGCTTCTGCCCTGTGACACCTTGAGTGCCACAGTGGGGCATCGTCAGCGTCCAGCCTGCAGGTGAGGGAGGATGAGGCTAGACATCCTAGAGGACTCTGCCCGCTACTCTAGGGGCTGTGGAGGGGCCTCCCGCTGTCTACCTCTTCCTGCCCCCCTTGCTAGCCCAACAACTCCTGGACACTGGGTGCTGACCCCGGGCCCTTTATACTGACTGTGGCCACTCTCTGGTGGCTTCCTTCCTTCTACTCCCCAAACCACGTGCCGTGCTGGTGTGTGACTGGCTCCAGCCCAGAGGGCATGACTGACCCTGCAGGGCCTGTGTGCTGTATGCCTCACGTGCGGGGAGGGTGCTCCAGCAGACGTCTGGCTGTGGCAGGCAACCTGGGGGTCTCCTTCCTGTAGGAAAGGAGAACAACTTCCCCCCACTGCCTCGCTTCTTGCCGCTGAAGCCCTGCTTCTACCAAGACTTCTCCGATGAGATCCCCGTGGAGCACCAGGTGCTGGTGAAGAGGATCTACCGGCTGTGGATGTGTGAGCCTCTCTGGGAGGGCAGCCCAACTTAGAGAGTGCAGTGTCCCCACCGAGTGCAGCAGCATTGTGGTCCATGGGACGTGCGAGGGTCCTTAGTGGGGAAGGGCCCCGGGCCCAGCCTAGTACCCTGGTGACTCACCTCCTGTCTTCCATCTGTCCCCTTCCAGTTTACTGTGCCACTCTGGGTGTAAACCTGGTGGCCTGCCTGGCCTGGTGGATTGCTGGTGGAGCGGGTGCCAATTTTGGCCTGGCCTTGCTCTGGCTGGTTACCTTCACTCCCTGCAGTTACATGTGCTGGTTCCGGCCTGCCTACAAGGCCTTCCGGTAAGCCTGGTCCAGGGACCCTCAGGCCACAGGATTTTTGAACCAATCTGTGGGGTGAGCAGGCTTATGAGCTGTAGACCATGGAGGCTGTGCCTTTGGATTCCCGGGAGCCTGGGACCTGCCCATCCAGGACAGGCTTTGGCCCAGTTGGGAACAGTAGCTGTCCTCCATATCTCCAGTGCGGATGGCTGTTTATGTCAGGGTCAGCAATCTGTGGCCACAGGCTGCAGCCAGCTGCTGTCTTGGGGTTGCTGGGAAGAGCCCAGGGTGTGAGGTACTAGGCAAGCAGCTTGTGAGCCCTGGGCCTGGGCCCTCCCTTGGTGCTTTGATGTGGAGTGTCACTGTGGAGGTATGGCCACAGTTCCCCTCCCTGCTGCAGCCTCTTGACTGCAGGCCTGCACATGGAGACACTCAAGTGTGCATGTGCCATGACACAGCTGTAGCAGTCTCAGGACAGTTCTGTCTCCAGCAGGTAAGTTGTGGGGATCAGAGTCAGGCCATCAGCCTTGGCAGCAGGCACCTCTGCCTTATTTTAAGTTTTAATAATGGCTTTAGTGAGCCTGTATCGTGCACTGTGGTTTCTGACTACTGAGAGCCTCAGTGTTGGAGCGCAATGGTTTAGCCTTTGTGCTTGCTTCTAGAAGATTCTATTACCCCAAAAAGAAACTAGCCTCCACAAACACACTTCCTATCTCTGGATTTGCCTGTTCTAGACACTTCCTACTGTGAAGCCACACTCTTGTGTGGCCTTCTGTTTCTCTGAGCACAAGGTCTCTAGACTGTGGCATTTGCCAGAGCCTTGCTCCTGGACCCTCCTAGTACTCCAGCCTGTAGACAGACTCTGCCGTGTCTGCCATCTGCCCATGGGCACATGCCTTCAGCTGGCTCATCTGAGTGTGGTGCTAGCTCATAAATGGTGCCTGAGGTACAGTTGAGAGTTGAGGCCCAGAGGGCTCCTCAGTCAGACAGATGCCTGCTCAGCCAAGTCACCATAGCAGGAGCAAGGGGGTCCCAGAGCAGAGGCCCACCTTCTAAACAGAAGCGGCCTGCTGGATAGCCCTTCGCCCTCATGGTGACAGGGCATTAGCCACTCTGTATGACCCTGAGGCTCCAGCTCCCCGTGGCGTCCCAGGGGCAGTGGCACGCCAGGCTCGGAGGGCCTTAGTCATTTCAGTCCATCAAAGACAAGGGAGCCTTGACACTCAGTCCTCCCTCTGGGTCCCACTCCCTCAGGGAGTGTGAGTGACCCTGCATTCTCTGTCACTCACAGAGCCGACAGTTCCTTTAACTTCATGGCATTCTTCTTCATCTTCGGAGCTCAGTTTGTGCTGACCGTCATTCAGGCCATCGGCTTCTCGGGCTGGGGCGCGTGGTAAGCAGACAGACGGGTGTGTGTCTCCTGTATGCCTGTGTGTGAGAGCCTCGGCCAGCATGGGTACAGGGCATGCCCCACAGAGGGTACCCTCCAGACACATTAGGAGAGTGTGAAAAGAGAAAAGCCTGTGCCATGGGCCACCAGCAGGGGGTGCTTCTCAGTTGCTCCCAGGCCTATCTAGATTCCCCACCTCCCTGCCCCCCCCCCTTTTTTTTTTCTGAGGATCTCACTATGTAGCCTTGGCTGGCCTGGAACTTACAGAGGTTTGTCTGCCTGGCTCCTGTGTGCTGGAATGAAGACATGTGCTACTGTGTCTGGGCATTCATTTCTTCTATGTGTCCTAGTCAAAGTCCATGTAAAGTGCCCAGCTGTCCTTTTTTTTTTTTTTTGGTTTTTCGAGACAGGGTTTCTCTGTATAGCCCTGGCTGTCCTGGAACTCACTCTGTAGACCAGGCTGGCCTCGAACTCAGAATTCCGCCTGCCTCTGCCTCCCGAGTGCTGGGATTAAAGGCGTGCGCCACCACCGCCCGGCTCCTTACCCTTTTTATGAACCAAACTCTCCCACCCCAGCAGCCAGAGTCTGTGACCCTTGAATGGACTGTCACCCCGTCACCCAGCCATGCCACCAGTGCCTGAGTCAGATCGGCAGGTGACATTCTCAGGATAGGCTACCAAGGGGGTACTGAGGGCAGAGCCCTGCCCAGCTCCCTCCTGTGGCCGCCCAGCAGCCTTAACCCGCCCTCCCCACCCCAGGCCAGGGAACAGTGGGTATCAGGACACTGGGATTGCCATCTTTGTGAACACACGTGACCGATCATTCTATGTGCCTGTGACCAAGCACGTGCCTTTAATCCAGTACTCAGGAAGGTAAAAGAGGTGGATTTTTGTGAGTTTGAGACCAGCCTGGTCTCCATAAGGCATGAGTTCAGGGCCTGGGCTGTAGCTCAGCAGGTACAACACTGGCCTAATGTGCAGGAGGCCCTGGGTTCCTGGGTTTAGTTCACTGGACCACATAAACTACACATGGTGGCACACTTGTCATCCCAGAACCCAGAAGGGTCATGAGTTCAAGGCCAGGGGAATAGCTCTGGCATCTGCAAAGCACTTGTATAAGGTGCTTAGTTCAGTCCAGAGCACTGCAGGCGTTCATGGTCACCCTGTGTCTCAAAAGGAACAGACACGGTTAGGAGAAGGTGGCCATGGTGGCCTCATGCCTCTAGTTCCAGGACTGCTGCAAATTCAAAGCAAACCTGGGTGAGGTCCTGACTCAGCCTGAGCCCTGTCGCAGTTAAGAAAGCCCTTCAGGACAGTGTCAGAGAGTGACAGAGAGCCAGGAGGAGACCTGGGCTTGGGGGCCTACACCCGAAAGAAAGGAGGAAGTACCATCAGCAGCAGCAGCAGCAGCAGCAGCAGCAGCGCCAGGCATAGTGCCCTGCCAGCACTTGAGCTGCCGTGTGCAGGAGCAAGACAGAGTCAGGAAGCAGCAGCTCTAGTAAGTGAGGACTCTGGAGGCACACAGTCTGAGCTTGTGTCTCATGGGCTGTGACAGTGTGTGACTCCAGTGTTGGTGGGAGGGAGACAGCCAGCCAGTCCCGCTAAACCCAGACTCAGTGTCAGAACAGTATGGTGGAAGGTAGAGAGGGCTCAGCAGATAAAAGGACTGCCCAGCTCCCTTCCCAGTAAGTTTATAAAATAAGCAACAGAGGGAGAGACTCCAGTTTCTGACACACAGACACAGGTACACACGTGCCAGGCACCAGAAACAAGCCTAGGAAAACTGCCTCCAGCCACAATCCTAGCCCTCGTGCAGAAGCCCAAACCAAACAGATGAGACAGAAATGGATCCTTCATGACACCACAGGAGCTGGATGGGTAGGGTTAGGTAATAGTCATAAGCCAGGCAGCACGAGACAGAGGCAGGTGGATCTTGTGAGTTCTAGGACAGCTAGGGCCACACAGAGAAACCCTGTCCCAAAAAAACAAAAGGAAAAAAAATCACGTGTTTTGATTAATTTTTGAGACAGGGTTTCACATAGCCTAGGCTGGTCCCAAATTGTATACATCTACAAGGATGACCTTGAGCTCTTTCTCGATCCTCCTGTGTCCACCTCCTGAGTACCTGAATGACAGGTATGTCCCACCAAGCCGCACTGATTTAAGTCTCAAGGTTTAGTTCACTTCAAGTCAGTGTGGAGAATGAAAGATGCTGTGCTGATACGTAGGAGGCCTTGCGGCTTGACATCGTGTTGTTTCCTGTTTGCAGTGTGTCCTAGGAACTGAAACCTGCCAAATGGTTATGTTTTTTGTAACTATCATTTTGGGTTGGCCAATCACTTTCTTGTCATTAACAGAGCCTGGCTCCTTCAAAGTTTTTTTTTTTTTTTCCTCAGTAATATGTTGGGGCTCTGTACATATACGAAGGAGAATATGCCTTGTTTACCAATTCCTTGTTGTCAGAACTCTGCATATGGAGGACAGGGCCTTCAGTGTGCTGAGCCCGTTCCACTCCCTGTGTCCCCTCTCTCTCTGCAGTGGTTGGCTGGCAGCCGTTGGATTCTTTGGGACCAGTGTGGGGGCTGCTGTGGTCATGCTGGTCCCCGCTATCATGTTCTCTTTGTCCGCTGTCATGATGGCTGTCGCTATCGTGAAGGTGAGTCCTAAAACTTTCTTTTCCCTCACCATTCTGTGTGTCTCAGTCATGCAGAATACCCCATGTCTTCAGCTGCAGGCTGTGGCAGGGAGACTCATTTCCTGGGAATTCACAGGGTCCTCTGCTTAGGTGTCCGCACCTCAGATCCCAGAGGAGGGCAAAGAGTGTCACTGACACCAACGGTTTAAGCGCAGGAGCCTTCCCTGTGGGGAGTACAGGGAACTCCCCAAGGCCAGCCAGATTCACCAGACACTGCTGACCGGCAGCAGTGCCACCCGGACATGCACACGGCTCCAAAAGTGGCCCAGGTCTGCTGCGGACAGCTCTGTAGGAGCAGAGACGCCTGCAAGGAACAAGAGAAACCTTTGGTTTTTTGTTTTTTGAAGATTTAT